CAAGTCGAATGGTGTTGTTCAACTGGCCCAGCATTAACGAGCCCGGTGGTTTGCGTACTCCCCCCTGCCCCTTACCCTCCTTTTCTCTGTCTCTCTCTCTCTTTCTCCCTAACCCACTTTAGGAAAGGGCAGAGCGGCCGTTTGTAGCAGATTGCCAACTATGTCTTTTTCCCGGCCTTAATGGACTGCAGTTACCGCCGCACCGCGCCACCGTGTCAGTTCCGTTCCGCACGGGAGCCCTATGGGGCAGCCCTATGGGGCAGCCCTATGGGGCAGCCCTATGGGCCCTATGCACCTGAGCAAAGCAAAGCCCCCTTTCAATGTAATCAAGAGAAAAGGGACAGAGTAAAACGAGGCCATCATGAGTGGGACAGAAACGGCAGCTAGTGGTTTTCGATACGCTAAATAATGCGAAAGAATTAACTTAAACTTAGCCTCGTCTGCCATATTTCTGCTAAAGTGGTCAAGTTCTTGTTCCTCCAATATGTTGACTAATTAGTCAGGTTTTGTAGCCCTTACAAGTGCTGGTCCATTGAACACATGCTTGTGCACAAAGACGTCAATAATTAGTTGCAGTCTCGTCTTTAGACATTTAAAGTGCATTACACACTAACACAAAAGATCCCGCTCGCTTTATGCAGTCTCAAGTCCGGTGTCCGTTCAGCCGCTTGAGCTGTGCGCCGTGTGGGGGTGCATGCTGCTGTGGCAGGTTGGCAAGGCAGGTAAAGGAGCTCGGGTCATTACAGCGGGTGCTTTACACGTTCACGGCCCGCCCCCCGCCAGTTGCCGCCCGGTATCGCCTGGGCGGGGCGCCCCTCTGGAGCTGGGCTGGATGTGGTTTTTACGGCACTGTCTTCCAGAATAACGCGGCCAGCACGGAGTGCTGCTCGACCTTGGCGCTGCTGGTGGGTGGGCACCTGCACCTAGCACCCGGGGAACCGAGTCACTCTCTTTACAATCGATTTGGCCTATCCTATAAATAGCTGCAAAAAGCCTGTCATTTTCGCTGGTCGTTACAGCCTTTCTTGCTGAATCGTAAAGTAAGAAACTCCCAAGGCAGCTCGGAAAAATGTAATCACGATTTTTTTTTCAAGGGCGATTTTTTTTTGCGCCACATGGCACTTCAGTGTGCTAAAATACCCACTAAAACATGAAAAGTAATTCCGAGTATATTCCTCCCTCTTTTTTTGTGCTTGCGGAATGTGGTGTTTGCGTAGAGTCTGTACAGGCTCAGTACATATTGGCTAGGAGCGGCTCGCCGGCCGGTCCGGGCCGCACGGGGTGGGCTGGGCTAGTCCCGGGCCTGGGAACGCACCGCGCCGAGCGGCGCAGCACCAGCGCCAGCACCAGCGCCGTGACATCCGTCTCCCCGGCCCTCCGCGGGGAATCTGGTCATCTCCCCGGCTACCATGTGTCGAGCAGCACCGGCGCGGCGCAGCGGGCGCAGCGGGGCAGTCGCAGGCATCGGTAATGCAATTAATGGCACTCGGTGGGGATTGAGAGATCCCCGTGGATAGCGCGGCCGGCGCGGGGAGGGATTTATCGCGCCAGCGACACACGGCCTGGGACGCTCCGCGGGCCGCGGTGAGCATCCCGCCGCATCCCGCCCTCCTTCCGCCGATCCCGATGGCACAAAGGTCATGTGCTCGCGGGATCGGGGATCAGTCGGTCACACAAACGCGCCCTCCAGCGCTGCTGCTGCTGCTATGACCCCCGAGAAAGTCCTGTCACCCTTTAATGCAGAGGAGGCATTTTGCTATTGGCAGGAAGTATATGATGGCGGCCGGAGAAGCCCGTCCCGTCCCGGCCCGGCTGGGGCGCGGGGTTAGTGTGCTCATGACATACGGCCGAGGGTGATGTCACGAGGCCGCACCCGCCGCGCCAATGAGGCTAGCAGGAGAGCGGGCGGGGAACGTGTTGTCGAGGTGTTTTTTTCTGTTTTGTTCAGTTTATGTTTTGTTTTTTCCCGCCTGTCACCTCATTACGGATACACCTCTCGGGGGGCTGGCCCTCGGGCTGGCCTGCCATGATGCTGTGCTGCTGACGCTGTGCGAATTCAAAGAGCCGCGCGCCACAACGGTATTCGCGAGGCGCTGTGGGGCGGGGCGGGGCGGGGCGGGGCGGACCGCGGCGGGGCCGGCGCGAGATTCTCCGCGATAACTAAATAGAAGCAGCAGCGGCGGAGAGGAATCTGCCGAGAAACACACCGACTACAGATAGCGTTACGGCCGGCTCGGCCCACTTGGGCCTGCGAAACGTTATGACTTATCGTGCGGCGCGCTCTCCGCTCGGCCGCCGCACTTTTATTCCGAATCAAAATTTAATATTCCTCTCGGTACTCACGCCACTGCCGCCGCCGCCGCCGCCTCCAGCCTGTCGCTGCCGTGCGCCTTACATTTTTTCCCCGCCCCGGGCTGGACCCGCCCTCTTTGCTCCGATGAATCACGTTTCCGCTCGTGATCTATTTTCCTCTACGAACTGCGAAGTGAGAAAGTGATTAGTTTCCCTTCCGCTGTCGCCGCGCCACCGCCCGAGACTTGTGTTTTCTTTGTTTCATATATTTTTTTTCTCTCGCCTCTCCCCACTAAAGGTGATTGTACTTACAGCAGCACCCGGCAGGGCAGGACGCGGTGTCGAGTCACTGCGCAGACATGCCCCGCTGTGCCCGGTGTGCTGTGACTCGGCATGAACCGGCCCGGCCGGGAGTGCCAACCCACCGATGTGAATCGGCTGACAGGCCTGTCGACCACGCACTTGACGTGCAGCAGACACGCTGCCCCCGGCGGGTTACTGTTGGCACCCCTGCGCGGCGGGGGGGAGGGGGGTCCGGTGCTGCGGTGGTGTGGTAGCGACTGAGCCCCTCTCGTCCTCTCCATCAGCTCATCCTGATCCCGGACGCCCTTTGCTTCCGTTTGCTTCCCTCCATCAGCTCTCCCTGATCCCGGGCGTCCTTTGCCTCCCGTCGCGTCGTGGTCATGCTGAAGCTCCCCGAAGCGGAAGTCCCGACACAAACACAGGCTCGCCGCACGCTCGACCGGTCGGGATGCCGTTTCGATGCCGGATTGATGTGCAACTCGTGTCTCTTGCGTCGCGCCCGGCCGCCGTGCTGGAGTGAACGAACGGAGAAGGAAGAGTGGGGGTGGGGAGGGGGCAGATGGGCTTTTTGGCCAGGACTGCCAATTCAGGCGGGGGAGCGGAGAATATCGTGAGGGAGCGGTTGTGGCGAGGAGTGGCTCATTCAATCCGACAAATTGAGGTGCAGCCAGGCCGACCTGCTGATTGACTGACTGACTGACTGACTGACTGACTGACTGGCTGACTCTGATAATGTTTGAAAGATGTGCCCAATAGGCGATTATCTAGAAAGCACGTTCTTCATTCACAGTTTTACGAGCCAGCCCATGCAAGCTGATGGAGCGCCTTGTAGGTAGGCAGAATCTTGCCTGCATACACATGCGTGTACGGCGGGGTGGCCTATCCTGGATCGCGCAGGCGCCAAACTCCAACGACTTGCTGCATGTACATGAAAAAAGGAACGTAATTTCCGGACGATCCCCAAGCAGTGGCTTCGGCCTGGACCTCTCACATTCAGGTTGTTTACCTGACCCTGCTGACCCCGGCTGAACCCGAACCTGCTTTTGCCACAGAATGTCTTTCTTCTTTGTTTTTGTTTGCTTCCTCAACGTTGGTGCAGTGCCCCCTGGTGTCCCTGCATGACTTTTTCCCCCAGGCCCCAGGCCACGCGGTCTGGACCGGCACGGCCGCTGCGAGGAGCACGGCGTTGAGACCAAGGTTGAGGTTGAGACCACAGAGCCGGTGAGTCTCCGCGGCGCCTGTCTCATTTCTTGGGACCCGGACCGGATTGGCGACCCGGGAGCAATCGTGGAGCGACCGCGGTGGTCTCAATGTGCGCATGTGTGTTCGTGTGTGTGTGTGTTTGAGGGAGAGAGAGAGAGAGAGACGAGTATAAAACAATCCTCCGGAGTCCTCTATTTACAGCAGGTGGTCGCTCTGCCACCACGCGAGCTCGAGCTCACACTCGGGACCAGCACTAGTAGCATGGCAGCAGTCACCCCAGCCCCAGGTGTCTGTCCCCCGTGTAGTTAGGAGAGGAAGCCTATCCCGCATATGTGCCTGACCATCGAGCCATCATGTCGTCCTCTTCTTGACCATAACCCTTCCTCTTCCTTCCCCTCGGCGGTTGAAAGCACAAAAAAACAAATAAAAACAAGAAGTATACTGTGTTTTCGCGTCCAAGTCTTGACGACCACACGCGGACGCCATGGGCTTTCGGGCGGGCCCCGAGTGGAGCCAGCTGACAGATCCCCGGTCATCAAACAGTCGTTAGTTTGCATTCCATCCACAGCAACCTCCAATGTTATGTTGCGACCTCGGCCTCGGCGCGTTCGCCTTGGATGGCCTGGGCGGGTCGCTCTGCAGAGGGCTCGGCAAAGGGAGTCTCCAGGTTGGAGGGTGACAGCCGAGGCCTACAAGTACTACTGAACGCCTCGACTTAGGGACAACTTCTGTCACGGTTCTTAGACTCTATCACAAAGAACTATCACGAGTTGGTTGTTGTTGCTGATTTTCATCTTGTGTTTTTATAACAGAATTTGCCTTTTCCCGTGAGAAATTTGAATGACAGTGTAATTGAATACTCTCATGCATCCTCCTCCTCTGATCGAGTATAGCGGCGAGTAGCGGACCGTGTGCACGCCACGCCCGCAGCGCGCCTCATTCACCCCCTGCGCTGTGACAAGCGCGAGCTGACCACACAGCGCCCCGCCCCGCCACGCCCCGCCACGCCCCGACACGCCCCGCTCCGCCATCACTTAATGATCACTCTGGAATGGCCGCAATGTGCACCGCGCTCTGCGGCCAGCTGGAGCGAGCGATCACTCTTAATGCCTCACCGCGGGCGGGTGGTGCGCTCTTTCTTACGAAAATGAAACAAAAAAAATTAAATTTAAACATTCGTTTTTGTGTGTGTGTGTTTGCAGAAGTCGGAGGAGCGGTCGGTGCCAGTCGCGGTGCGAGTTCACCGGACTTTGGAGCTACACGACGACAAGTTCTACGTCATCACGTGTGGTAAAGCTGGCTTCAGAAACTCGAGGTGAGTGCGGCTGTAGAAATCAAAACTCAACATCAGTTCTGAAAAGTCACACATGCAGTATCTCACTCGTGTCCATTCGCTAAAGTAGCCAGCACTTTCAATCATCATTAGGTCGCATGGGACTATGAGGTGTTTGACTGGAAATTAAGAATACCGTGCTGTCAAGCGTTGCAAGTGCGTTTGAACTGTGAACTAGATGGAACAAGACTTGTAAATATTGAAACCTTCGAGCTCAGGACAAAGACATTTGAGTCGAATATTTTTACGTGTTCCATTTCCATTCCTACAGTTACTAGTTTTGAAAGTTCCAATTAAACGCCTGCAATTATGCAACAACACTGCGTATACGGGGACACAGCCAGGAGCGAGCTTTTCTGAGGAGATGTTGCTGCGGTGGTGGCGTGGCTACCTCTGCCGAGAGTCCGCGCCTCGGTCCGCGCAAAGGGATAGGCGGGACCCAGGAGGTAGTAGTTAAGAAGAGCTCCCATAAGAAAAGCTCGCTCCTAGTTGTGTCCCCTACAGCTGCCAGGGGACACTATACTAAAAAGGTGTTCACACATACACACACACACACCTTAACTCGGTCACAAGAAGGGAGAAGGAATAGCGGCGCCGGGCCGGCTATATCGATTCGCCAAAACGCCACGCTTTGGTCCTCTTTTTATACCGATCATAATCTTCAGCAAGGTGTCAGGCTTCATCGTGTAATTTTTTTATAGCCTTCAGGTTTCCCTCTCTCTCTCCCCGCCCGTGGCACTTGGCCCTCTAATCTCGTCATTCGCGGGGCAAAAGCGGTCCACTGTGCCACTTTCCTGATAAAGAGTAGGAATTTGGGATGAAGCGACGCGCGGCGGCCGATGTTCCGGCACTGGGCTCAGCGCCGTTGGGGCCCATTTGGGTCTCGGGGGACCCACCGAGGGCCGCGGGCGTGCAGCAGGGTGGGGCGGGGCGGGGCCCGGTCGACCGAGCAGACGGGCCCAATCGCGAGGGGCGGGGTCCCGCGGGGAAATAGTGTGCGAAACAACCTGTTTCCGAAATCCTTTTTAATTTAGTGTGAAAAGCGGCTCTAAAACGGGTTATCGCGATGATGAGTGTGTTCTTTTAGATAAGGCACGTGGGCCGTTAATGTTTGGAATAGTAGCGTTTGGGCAAATCCAATAAGTGTTTTCTAGGAAGAGCACGTATTTTCCCGTATGATAGGCTAGGCTAACTATGTCTATACTGTACACGGTAAAAACAGTGGAAAACTTTTAGGAACTCTAGTTTTAAGAAAACTCTTTAGATCTCGAGCAAGTATTAAAAAGGTGGGTATTTCCCTATTTTTTTAGAAGACTTCTTCTAAGTCTGAGGACTTTTCCTCATATTATAGAAGTTCCTCAAAGTTTTACCTTTTGCCTTCAAAAGTAGACACTGCTATGCCGTGTGTGTGTGTGTTATCATTCAGTCCTGGACAGATGACTGCCACTACTTGCTCCACGCATATTGAAACGAGCATCGTGGGGAAAAGAATCAAAACAATCGCGCGAAACTGTCCCCCCCCCCCCTCGCCCCGCCTCAAGAATCTCGATATCCAATTATGAGATCGGCTGCAATTAAATAATGATAAATAAAAGAATACGCGAAATGAGAGCGGAAGCTCGTTAGCCATTTATGTTTCCTAGCGCTGCCCGGAGCGACAGAGTGACGCCCTCCGCGCAGAGTGCTCTCCCCTGTCGCGGATCACGTCCGTTTAATTAACAACCTCATCTTTTTTTCCTCTTCTGTTTTTATTTCAATCGCTCGATAAAATGTAAATGAGACAACAACGCATCAGTCCAATACTCGGCCGTGCCGTAATCATGATTCCATCCGATGACGTCCGTTCGTTCTTCCCGCGAGGTACTTCCCCGAGCTACACAAGACCAGAGGGCGGGCGGCTGGTCTGCAGCGCTGTCGTGCTCTTTTGGTGACGATAGTGAGCCGCACAAAGGCATTCGTGCGGGTTGCGTACACGTTATGGCCAGACACGATGGAAAGAGTGGACGCTCCCTGCTCCGCAGCATGTTGTAGTATAATGTACGATTTCCATTTTCGCTAATCATCGCCCGACCGAACGCCGCACTCCGCTGAAACTCGCACGCCTGCTGTAGTCTTCCTGCTGCGTCTCTGCACGTACTGTTCCATGGTACTGTACTCTATACGCGATGACTAGGAAGCTGGTCTATTAGTCTCTAATTGTTTCCCTCCCTGTGTGTGCTCGGCGAGCAGCTCGGCGAGCAGCTCGGCTCACCGGTAATGAGAGGAAGGCACGCGGCGCGCACTGCAATGTGTGTGTGTGCGAGCGCACCGCGCACCGCCGCTTGGCTCACCAGGCTCGCCAGTAAAGCACCGGCCCTTTCTGCCACGCAACCCCGTCCTTCCGTCGTCCGTTGCCGCGGCGGTACGGTAAAGCAGTCGAAGCGCGTGTTTTGCAAATAAAAATGTGTGTCCCCGACGATGCAGAGAGTTTATCCTCTCGGGCGCTGGGGTGCAAAGGGGTGGCCAGGGGCGAGGTGGGGCGCGGCACAGCGGATGTAGCAGGGAAATTAATTACCGCGGGAAACCTTTCTCTCATGTCACTTTCAGACATCTCTGTCACAGTGAGGTTTGGTTGAAAGCCACTCGTTTTAAAACACGTATTGCGGAGCGCACTTTATTTCTTACACGTTTGTGTTTCTCTGTTTGCAGGAACGAGACGTCCCACGTGTCGCTGAAGCTGGTGGACAAGGGCAGGCGGGTGTCGGAGGTGGTGTACAGCCACCCCTACACGCTGCGCGCCGACGTCACCAGGCCAGATGGTGAGTTTAGAGTTGATCATACGCATAGCTTAGGCAGTGGTTGTCTCCTGGCACGAGATTCGGTTCAGACCGATGGGGAGAAATCACTCCAAGTACGAGTTAGTACACGGTCAGTGCGTGCTCTTTTCATCATCATATTATATAGTTTTGCACTCCTTCGGCTTCTTTGTGTTTGGTGGGTGGGGGAAGGGGGGGTAAATGGGGGAGGTGTATCCTCCCTTTTGTCGGGAAACGTAAAACCAAACTGCGCGCACGCTCGGTTAATTGTCGTGATCTGGGCCGGTATTGCAGCAGAAATGAAAGACGGCAAGAGAAGTTTGTATTTCCTGAAGTTTCCACGATTGCAAGATGGGTAGAGAGCGGAGGAGTTCGCTGAAGGGTAACCGTCCTCCGAAAGGACTGTGCGTGCGCGCGGCCGTGTGCGGGGGCGATGGGGCATTAGGTCCCCATTAACGTGACACAATGTCCGGGCCGTGCGTCCGCACGCACCAGGCGCACGCACCAGGCGCACGCACCGGCCTGCACGCGACGGGGTAGGGCCGGAGGGGCGTGGTCAGGGATCAGCGCGACGACGGACCGGGCGGGACGGGCGAACACTGCCGCGGAGACTTGCACGCCCGAGTGAGGGTAGTGGCTTCCAGACTTGGGATTTTAATTTGCTGGGAGAGTACTTTGGGGAAATTTTCAAGAATTTGTTTTTAAATCCTCTGACCCCCCCCCCCTC